CGAAATCGTAGGCCGAGCGCGAGGTCACCACACTCATGGTAAGCACCCTCCAACGATGAGGCAGAAAACTTACCTATGCAACGCAATAGCCGAGGGTCTTCGTCGAGGACAGCACTGACGAGCACGACATTGGCGACGATGACGAGGGAGGCCAGAGATGGGAGAGAAGTGGGAGAAAGGGAAAGAGAAGGAAGAGGAATGATGGGTTAGGCGATTTGGACCTGGGTTTTATACCCAGTGCCCGTCGGCGCTCGGCGGAAGTGATTTACGATATGTCAGGAATCACTTGGCATGGCTGACAGCGGACCTGGGCGATCTCGCCACTGCCGGAAATGGCATGGATTCCGGTTTGGTGGGATTTAGATAACTTTCCAGCCATGTATAGCTTGTATAAGAACATCTATTATCATACTACTGCATGTTTTGATGCATTCTGGATCTTAAAACACGCTACAAGACACCAAGGTTTGCGAAATACAAGTGGGGAGTGGGACTAGAAACACGACATACCCAGACAGCGGAGCGCCCAAGCTGCAAGCGAGTGACACATGGGATGATGGTGCCGTCATGCCCAGGCCGTTCGATGCTCAAACCACGCAAGTTCCCCGTTGAAAACGGGGGAATTCTGCGAGGCAAATGAAATTACCATGGACTAGACCGCTCTCCGGGGGATCGGAGATGACCAGGTCCCTGATACGCGCAATCACGTTCCAGGCTCCAAGTCCGAAGGTAATCGGCCGACTCCTTGGCTCAGAATTCCAGGAATTGTACCAACAACATACCTCGAAAATATCATATATTTGGTGCTTCCTGTTGCTTCAGCTGAAAGTATGGTTCGACAGGAGGCTTACGTAAGCACGTAATCCTCGATTTTCAGCCGAATCGGAGCATTTTTAGCTATAGAACGCGGGGCACATCTTAAATTTCCATTTTAGGTTGCCAGCGGTAGCATGCGATAAGGTCACGTGACCGCCCGCCGCAACCCAGTTTTAAGACTCTAACTTGGGCTTTCACTGTGAATTGTGCCCTGGGTGTCATTCAACTTGAAAATCTCGCAAAATCCTAGTTGTCTTTGAACTATTTCAGGAAAACCTGGATTCACACAAGTCCAAAATTTCCATTTTGGGTCGTAGGTGATGCAGTCACGTGACCACAGCCCAGCACTTCATTTTCAATCTACTTTGGCTCCTCATCACTAAATTTATTAGCTTCTCCTATAAGTAAAACTTGAGTAAAACTCTGGCAGAACTCAAATTGCTCAATCCTATATTGCCATTTCCAGCCTATCAGCTAGTCACGTGACTGCTCCTGGTAGGCACTGTTGCATATGAATACTCACAGTCCAATCCAATATTTCCTACTAATTGTTATTGCCATTATTTTGACTATTAGACATATTCTTAGACATGTTATTCAACTTCTATATGGAAAGGATATCCAGGAACACCTGCAAATAGTCCCCTCCTGCCACCCTTCTAGAACAGTTCTGGTATTGAGCACTTTTTGAATAATCCCAAGATTTTTGGGGGTACTAGTGTACATCACACCGAGATTCTTTGTGAATATGAAAGCCATTATAGTTCTTCACCTCTTAGAAGTGAATGGTCTACCAGGAGAAGCGGGAGAGCAGAATTCAAAAATGTGAGAACTGACATTAGCATAGCCACCAATGTCAGATCAAGGACAATCTGATGAGCTGTGTCAAAGCTTGTGCAAGGTCCAGAGCACCAATGCCTGGGAGTACAGTCCTGAAAATCACACAGCACATTGTATAGCATCAGAGGACTTGTGTGACCAAGCTACACAGGTGAGTGTTCAGCAATAAGGAAGATATTTAAGATATATCTTTCAAAACATTTCTACAGCCATTCTAGCCGAGGGTGAGAGCCCTGACCGAGAAAATGGAATCAGAGGAAGTAGTACATGTAATCTTTGATCTGACACTTGCCTGATAGGATCTGACCTAGAAATTTCGAGTTATAATGAAATTGATGTTGTAAGAAAAACTCATGCTTTTGCTAGTATATAGTGCTTGTTTTAAAATCCTTCATATCTCTGATATGTATGTTATCATACTCCTTAAACCTGTGTATAACATCCTTTTGTTTTTCCTTCTCTATGACTGATATTTAAATATTCTAAGTAATAAATTGAACTTTTTGTAGGCTACAAATGATTTTTTTTCTGTAGTCATCAAACATGTCTACTGATTGCTGCTGAGCTAAATGATTTTCTATTGCATTTTTACCTACTTTTTATTATTGTCAAAGTTGACAATCAATTCTAATAAATCGAACAGGTGTTTGGTCTTGCCTGTGATGGCATCAGAATGAGCTGCCATGATTTCTGCCAACTGTTATTACAGAATAATTTTAATTCATTTTCACTTACTTTCTATTTTTGTACTTTCTAGTCTCAGTAGATTTATGTTTATAGTAGAATAACTTGATTCCACTTTGAATACTGTAAAAACTGTTTTTACCCACTTTTTGTTTTCCTCTCTGCCATCTGTATATTGAGTTGAACATGGCTAGCAAGCAGGTATTGGCAGAAATATTGAATTTAATCTTTTATTGCATTTTTATATACTTTTTATTGTGACCTAGTAACTATTATATTGAGCTGACAGACTGCTATAATATCTTCTTTCAGTCCAAATTCATTTTTACCTACTTTTTTATTTTTCCATTTGATAATGTTCCACACAAACATGACAGGTGTAGCAATGTTAAGGAATTGGTTTTGACCTACTTAACCATTTGGCTAGAACATAAAGTCATATTTGTCAGCCTGGACAAGATTTTTTGCCAACTTTTTATTTTTCCGAAATTACCATTCTGGAAGATCTCAGCCAAATCACTTACTATACTAGTTAAGAAATGATTTTTACCCACTTATTATTTTTCCCGAAACTACCATTCTGGGAAGTAATCCCAGCTAAATCACTTACTATACTAGTTAAGAAATGATTTTTACCCACTTTTTGTTTTTCCGAAAATAGCCATTCTGGGAAGTGATTCTAGCCAAATCCCACTTATTTTGGGATGAGAATTGATTTTTACCCACTTTTTATCAAACAATTGAATGACTTCACTAATGAGAGAAAGTCTAAGACTCCAAGTAGAGAGCCAACATGTGACTTTACTAGATATATCATGTGATGCCAACATCTTAATAATGTTAATCAAAACACAGACCACTAGTTTAATTGGGAGTGGCTGTGTTATATCTGAGATAAAGCTTTGGTTTGGCAAGCAAGATATCATTTTTACCCACTTTTTTATATTCCTGACAATTGCCATTCTAGTCCTGTGACCTAACTGCCACAAACATTATTTTTACTTACTTTTCAGAATCACGAAAGTCACATCAGGCATGGAATTACCATTTCTGGAAGGATTATATAACAGTTCCAATAATCTCTTCAAACCAGACCCCCCCACTGCAAAGCTTAGAATATTTATTTGCCTAGATCACTAATCAGGAAAGTTGAACTTTCTGCCTCCATCGGAGAGCTACTGGAGTTGAACTCACGACTGAGATGAAACAGTCTAGACTCTCGGCCATAACATAAGAGAACCAGGTCCGATCAAATATTCCGAGAGAGGTGACGCCAAGTGGTCACACATATTTTCTCTCTTCCTCTTTTCCCTCGTCGTTGTGGTTGTCCTGGTCACTACTATGTTGGTGGTGAGTGCTATTGCTTGCTTTCCCTGTGTTGCAGCTGTTGTCTGATCATTCCAACACCTTGGGTGCTTCAGCGCTGTGTTGGTTGACATGACTCTTCCAGCACAGTGTCCGAGTCGCTGTAAGGGCTGCTGCCTCTGCTACCGCACTGACAACCAGGAAGCACTGTCTCAGGTGGTACCAATTGGCTATGGTGAGTCCCATCACCCTTTTTTTTTTTGTTGCCGTTGCTGCGTCTACCTTCGGGAGGGGAGACCCTGGCCCAGAGTTGAAGAAACTCTGGAATGGGCATGGGTACCCGGCGGACGCGTTTGTTAAGCTTAATTGACGTGTTTTCAGGTACATCTCACATTTACTCCAGCCAAAACCATGTCAAAATGTGTAAAATCGCGCAAGTCCAAAATTAAACGCGACGCACGTGACCGCGTGGACTTGTCGACGTGGCGCCAAGGCCGAAGCTGCGCCGGATCTGCGCCTGCGCGTCCACGTCTATGCCGGCTCCTCCGCCGCATGCACTGCATGCTATCGTTGTTGGCGTCCCCGAGCCGGGTTTCGACTGGACTGCGGACGAGATAGCTAATTTATTCCCTGTCTAGCGGAGGGCTACCATGCCATTTTCGCAGCCTCAGACTTGTAAGCTTGTAGTTGTTCGTAGCATTTTGTAATCAGAGAATTTGAATCTGCTTAAGCCCCAGCCTTGGCGCACTGAACTCTTGATACCAATGCGATCAGTCCGGCTGTTCCGTTGCGGGTCGGACTCTCATGGATCGGCGGAGTAAAACTGCCATTTCTGGGTAACGCACGTGACCCGCCGCTCAACCGGACCGCGACCATCTGGTTGCCATGCTTTGCCCCTTGTTTGCCCCACCCTCCATCGATTCCTGGTCGATTCCGGCAGAAGAGCGACGCTGACACAGCTGGTGCGATGCCGCCGGTGTGGCTACGAATGCTCTGCCGAAAATTCAGTCAAGACCCAGACCCTGCTTTGTCCCGATGGAAAAAAAAGTTGACGCCAAAGAAGTTGACCAGTGCGCGTCGCCGCCGGCGCGGCGGCCACTATCCTTACAGATATAGCAAGCGCCAGCGCAAAATCTGGACCAGAGAGCAGTGAAATTGGGCAGCGTCGTTCACAGGAAGTTTTGCGTGCATAATTTAACCCTTAGCAGTCATCTGGGGAAGAAAGGAAAATCTTATCAAATGAACTCCTACTCATCCTTGGTCTCTCTCACGACACAGATCCGACTCGCGTCTTCGAATTCTCGTATAAAGACGCGCCAACATCTGGCAACCTGGCCAACTAGCTCTTATTTTCTATGACAGGCACAGGAGCAAGACCTTTGAACGTAACCGTCGTTGGCGCTGGTATCGGTGGACTGGCGGTCGCAGCCGCGCTGAGAAAGTGTGGACATGTTATCAACGTGAGCGTTATTGAATTCCTGAGTCCTTACTCACGCAAACAAGGTATACGAAAGCTTCGAAGTCAAAACAGAAATCGGCGCCGGAGTTGGAATGCAAAGCAATGCCGTCCGTGTGCTCAAATCTCTGGGTTACAAACGAGAAAATCTGAAAGGCGGGATTTTCGATGGGGTCAGTTGCCCTTCCCGTCTCTCGAGCCACGCAATAACCTCAGTAGATGACAATCCATAATGCCGAAACAGCAAAGTTCAAGAAATTCCCAACGCGCAACTGGGATTCCCTTAGAAAAGAGGGCCTCGAGGTATGGTGTTTGTTGTCGTTTTCTAGTGATCGACGCTCGGGCAGAATTTCTCATGTCATCGCGGCGACCTTCATGCCGAGCTTCTTCGACTTGCTACCGAGAAAGATGCTGCCGATGGGCCGCCTGCAAAATTGCACTTCGGTAACAAAGTCGTCAGTTGTGACCCAGAGGCTGCAACTATCACCCTTGCCAACGGTGAAACGGTGACCTCAGATCTTGTCATCGGGGCCGATGGTATCCATGTGAGTGTGTGTGTTTACTAAGTCATCGTCTTCTCACAATTGCGCCAGTCCATCGTCCGGACAAGCGTCTTGGGGAAAGAGGTCCAAGCAGAACCGACTGGATGGGCGTGTTACCGCTGCATGTTCGATGCATCCAACATCAATGATCACCCGGAATTCGACTGGGTTCTTAAGAATATGAATACCATCCGACAAGAAGGCTCTCAGCTCGCCGAGCACATCGTCTACGGCGTTCGTGGCAGCACGCTGATCAACTTTGTTGCGTTCGATAGCCACGAGGGGCGGGATACCAAAAGACGTGAGGTTTTTTTCATCTATTATTTTTGTTTCTTCACTGATAAACTTAGCTATCGCGCAACCTGCAACCAAGGAAGAGATTTGGGCAAGATACCCGACGTTCCACGAGAAATTCCGCCATCTATTCGACCTTCCTCTTGCGACTCCCGTTCTTCGATGGGAGCTTCGCGCCTTGCCGCTCCTCCCCACTTGGATCAAGGGCCGGGCTGCCATCATCGGTGATGCGGCTCACGCGACGCTGCCGCTGCTGGGACAAGGGGCTGGGCTGGCGCTTGAAGAAGCTGGTTGTCTGCGGGTTCTCTTCCCCCGCGGGCACAACTCCAGACCAAGTACCCGCCCGACTCGCCGCATTCCAAGACCTGCGCAAAGAACGCGGGGAGTTTGTCAATGTGCAGTCCGTTGCCCAGGCAGACCCGGAGTACCGCGTCAAGTTCACGAAAAGTAAGCACGCGCACAGAATCAAGTTGATTAGATCGACAAACAACTGTTTTATTAGCATCATGGGACGAACAACGCGCAAAAAGAGCTTACCCGGGTCCAGTTCCTAGTGCTCGCAAACGGCCATTCCAACTTGAATCTCTTCTCGCATCCCTCCACTTCAACAAAAGCCCTCCAACCAAGGCAACTCTCTCGTAAACACGTCCTTTTCTCGCGCAAGGTATGTCAGCGTCACCACGCAAGACTAGTTTGGCCACTTGTCACCAAGCTTCCAGCGACTCTTGCGAGAAGCTGAAAGGGACAAAGACTGTGTGGAGCATTAGCTCTGCCTTAACAGAGACGAAACAGAGGTACCTAGCTGCCAGTGCATGCAGTCATAAGCCGTTTTGTGAGCCAGTCGTCGCGCGACCCATAGCACTGCTCCCAAAACCACAGTCAGTGCCAACCAACAGAGTCACAGACAGCAAAACGAGCTCACGGACTACAGTAGAGTTGGTTGCGCTGCCAAAATAGTTAGCTATTGAAGCAATAGAAGATGAAATATATACCAGAACGCGACTCCCGCTTGAAGGAATGCGCAAAGTTTTCAGCGTGCACGTGCGTGACACGGCCCGCCAATCGCCGATCGATCACGCGTCGATCTCCAACCTTGACCACCACTTACAACTGTGTTCTGCTTGGGACCAACGACGAGCGATAGCACATGGCTCTGCGGAGACATACCCTTGGCACGAGCATCAAGACAGCAACAACCAGTAACTCTACCCTGCTGTGACTCCTCTTGGTACTTTCAACAGCGATGTCCCCAGCAAAACGCGGCCGCGCGGCATCCACTTCAAAATCTACATGGCCTTGCCAACCACCACCACACGTGGGACCCGGATGTACCCCCACGTCCGACCTCCGAACGGCAACTCGGCGGAAACTCCCATAGCTTCCCGCAACGCTGCCAAAGACCCCGTCGACAACTTCAAACTGGTCACACGCGCCGACCGCCCATGTCGTTCTCCCAGCCAACGCGCCAACTTGAATTGCGGGTTGCGACAACCCCCACGGACCGGAAGCAGACGGCAGGTCGGCGCAGACTGGGCAAGTGAGCGCAAGGTCAGCGACAGCAACGTCACAACTCGCCTGCAATGCTGCCTTTGTTGCGCCGAAGGCGTTCCGACAGCCTCACACTCAAGGTTCACCACCAAAAGCTTTTTGTCAACAATGCTGGCGACAACGCGACTTGGCAAGACGACGACGACCAGTAAAGCCGGCTTACCCTCTGCCGTCCAATCTCTCTCTGGCTGACTACGACTTGAAGACCGCGGCAATAACGCCCAAACTGACCAACGCGATGAATGAACAAGATGCCGAGGATAATAAACCGACGCACCTTTGCTGCCCGTCGCAACGCCGGCCTTGCCGATAATCAAGTTGACGATAGAGGCTTTGTCGGCCTCAACAACGCGGCTCAAATCCTTCCCCTTGTGCTCACTCATTCCGCGCGCTCTTAACAATGTGGCCGACCCAATCGAAATGGCGACGACTCCAATGTGGGCGAGGGGAAAGTAATGGAGACCATGAGCACCAGATTGGCTGGAACGAGGTAAGCATTGGTTTGTCTACAGATTTGAGTTGATACTCACCAAGGACAAGCTCCCGCGGCCCGATACCCTTGCCCGGCAATGACACCGACAGTGTGCTCGCTCTTCCCGCCAACTCCACCACCATCAACGGACTGCCCTCAACGCGATCGAAATAGTGCTGAGTTCGATGGCGATGACAGCCGCAGCAAGAACCTCCCCAATAATGGACGCGCTGTCTGCAACGACCACCAGCCTTGGATTCGGCAATTTGCGCAACTTGGCGCAAACTGGGAAATCCAGCACAGACACAACAACGGCACTCACCAATTACTCCACCTGCTCGACGCGAAGTACGTTGTCGCCCCTGGATCCCGAGCGCGGCTGAGCTGGCCAGCGGGATTCATCAGCGAGACGAGAAGAGGATCAAGATGCCGACTGACCTTTGTGAGCCTGTTCAACTAACGCGACTCCAATGCCGCGGGCAGGCCGGTCAGTCAACACCCCACGTAACCCGGAGCGGCAACTTGCAAGAGTCCCAACAGCGATCAAGATGTTCGAAATCGTAGGCCGAGCGCGAGGTCACCACACTCATGGTAAGCACCCTCCAACGATGAGGCAGAAAACTTACCTATGCAACGCAATAGCCGAGGGTCTTCGTCGAGGACAGCACTGACGAGCACGACATTGGCGACGATGACGAGGGAGGCCAGAGATGGGAGAGAAGTGGGAGAAAGGGAAAGAGAAGGAAGAGGAATGATGGGTTAGGCGATTTGGACCTGGGTTTTATACCCAGTGCCCGTCGGCGCTCGGCGGAAGTGATTTACGATATGTCAGGAATCACTTGGCATGGCTGACAGCGGACCTGGGCGATCTCGCCACTGCCGGAAATGGCATGGATTCCGGTTTAGTGGGATTTAGATAACTTTCCAGCCATGTATAGCTTGTATAAGAACATCTATTATCATACTACTGCATGTTCTGATGCATTCTGGATCTTAAAACACGCTGCAAGACACCAAAGTTTGCGAAATACAAGTGGGGAGTGGGACTAGAAATACGACATACCCAGACAGCGGAGCGCCCAAGCTGCAAGCGAGTGACACATGGGATGATGGTGCCGTCATGCCCAGGCCGTTCAATGCTCAAACCACGCAAGTTCCCCGTTGAAAACGGGGGAATTCTGCGAGGTGAATGAAATTACCAGGGACTAGACCGCTCTCCGGAGGATCGGAGATGACCAGCTCCCTGATACGCGCAATCACGTTCCAGGCTCCAAGTCCGAAGGTAATCGGCCGACTCCTTGGCTCAGAATTCCAGGAATTGTACCAACAACATACCTCGAAAATATCATATATTTGGTGCTTCCTGTTGCTTCAGCTGAAAGTATTGTTCGACAGAAGGCTTACGTAAGCACGTAATCCTCGATTTTCAGCCGAATCGGAGCATTTTTAGCTATAGAACGCGGGGCACATCTTAAATTTCCATTTTAGGTTGCCAGCGGTAGCATGCGATAAGGTCACGTGACCGCCCGCCGCAACCCAGTTTTAAGACTCTAACTTGGGCTTTCACTGTGAATTGTGCCCTGGGTGTCATTCAACTTGAAAATCTCGCAAAATCCTAGTTGTCTTTGAACTATTTCAGGAAAACCTGGATTCACACAAGTCCAAAATTTCCATTTTGGGTCGTAGGTGATGCAGTCACGTGACCACAGCCCAGCACTTCATTTTCAATCTACTTTGGCTCCTCATCACTAAATTTATTAGCTTCTCCTATAAGTAAAACTTGAGTAAAACTCTGGCAGAACTCAAATTGCTCAATCCTATATTGCCATTTCCAGCCTATCAGCTAGTCACGTGACTGCTCCTGGTAGGCACTGTTGCATATGAATACTCACAGTCCAATCCAATATTTCCTACTAATTGTTATTGCCATTATTTTGACTATTAGACATATTCTTAGACATGTTATTCAACTTCTATATGGAAAGGATATCCAGGAACACCTGCAAATAGTCCCCTCCTGCCACCCTTCTAGAACAGTTCTGGTATTGAGCACTTTTTGAATAATCCCAAGATTTTTGGGGGTACTAGTGTACATCACACCGAGATTCTTTGTGAATATGAAAGCCATTATAGTTCTTCACCTCTTAGAAGTGAATGGTCTACCAGGAGAAGCGGGAGAGCAGAATTCAAAAACGTGAGAACTGACATTAGCATAGCCACCAATGTCAGATCAAGGACAATCTGATGAGCTGTGTCAAAGCTTGTGCAAGGTCCAGAGCACCAATGCCTGGGAGTACAGTCCTGAAAATCACACAGCACATTGTATAGCATCAGAGGACTTGTGTGACCAAGCTACACAGGTGAGTGTTCAGCAATAAGGAAGATATTTAAGATATATCTTTCAAAACATTTCTACAGCCATTCTAGCCGAGGGTGAGAGCCCTGACCGAGAAAATGGAATCAGAGGAAGTAGTACATGTAATCTTTGATCTGACACTTGCCTGATAGGATCTGACCTAGAAATTTCGAGTTATAATGAAATTGATGTTGTAAGAAAAACTCATGCTTTTGCTAGTATATAGTGCTTGTTTTAAAATCCTTCATATCTCTGATATGTATGTTATCATACTCCTTAAACCTGTGTATAACATCCTTTTGTTTTTCCTTCTCTATGACTGATATTTAAATATTCTAAGTAATAAATTGAACTTTTTGTAGGCTACAAATGATTTTTTTTCTGTAGTCATCAAACATGTCTACTCATTGCTGCTGAGCTAAATGATTTTCTATTGCATTTTTACCTACTTTTTATTATTGTCAAAGTTGACAATCAATTCTAATAAATCGAACAGGTGTTTGGTCTTGCCTGTGATGGCATCAGAATGAGCTGCCATGATTTCTGCCAACTGTTATTACAGAATAATTTTAATTCATTTTCACTTACTTTCTATTTTTGTACTTTCTAGTCTCAGTAGATTTATGTTTATAGTAGAATAACTTGATTCCACTTTGAATACTGTAAAAACTGTTTTTACCCACTTTTTGTTTTCCTCTCTGCCATCTGTATATTGAGTTGAACATGGCTAGCAAGCAGGTATTGGCAGAAATATTGAATTTAATCTTTTATTGCATTTTTATATACTTTTTATTGTGACCTAGTAACTATTATATTGAGCTGACAGACTGCTATAATATCTTCTTTCAGTCCAAATTCATTTTTACCTACTTTTTTATTTTTCCATTTGATAATGTTCCACACAAACATGACAGGTGTAGCAATGTAAAGGAATTGGTTTTGACCTACTTAACCATTTGGCTAGAACATAAAGTCATATTTGTCAGCCTGGACAAGATTTTTTGCCAACTTTTTATTTTTCCGAAATTACCATTCTGGAAGATCTCAGCCAAATCACTTACTATACTAGTTAAGAAATGATTTTTACCCACTTATTATTTTTCCCGAAACTACCATTCTGGGAAGTAATCCCAGCTAAATCACTTACTATACTAGTTAAGAAATGATTTTTACCCACTTTTTGTTTTTCCGAAAATAGCCATTCTGGGAAGTGATTCTAGCCAAATCCCACTTATTTTGGGATGAGAATTGATTTTTACCCACTTTTTATCAAACAATTGAATGACTTCACTAATGAGAGAAAGTCTAAGACTCCAAGTAGAGAGCCAACATGTGACTTTACTAGATATATCATGTGATGCCAACATCTTAATAATGTTAATCAAAACACAGACCACTAGTTTAATTGGGAGTGGCTGTGTTATATCTGAGATAAAGCTTTGGATTGGCAAGCAAGATATCATTTTTACCCACTTTTTTATATTCCTGACAATTGCCATTCTAGTCCTGTGACCTAACTGCCACAAACATTATTTTTACTTACTTTTCAGAATCACGAAAGTCACATCAGGCATGGAATTACCATTTCTGGAAGGATTATATAACAGTTCCAATAATCTCTTCAAACCAGACCCCCCCACTGCAAAGCTTAGAATATTTATTTGCCTAGATCACTAATCAGGAAAGTTGAACTTTCTGCCTCCATCGGAGAGCTACTGGAGTTGAACTCACGACTGAGATGAAACAGTCTAGACTCTCGGCCATAACATAAGAGAACCAGGTCTGATCAAATATTCCGAGAGAGGTGACGCCAAGTGGTCACACATATTTTCTCTCTTCCTCTTTTCCCTCGTCGTTGTGGTTGTCCTGGTCACTACTATGTTGGTGGTGAGTGCTATTGCTTGCTTTCCCTGTGTTGCAGCTGTTGTCTGATCATTCCAAGGCCTTAGGTGCTTCAGCGCTGTGTTGGTTGACATGACTCTTCCAGCACAGTGTCCGAGTCGCTGTAAGGGCTGCTGCCTCTGCTACCGCAGCTGTTGTCTGACAACCAGGAAGCACTGTCGCAGGTGGTACCAATTGGCTATGGTGAGTCCCATCACCCTTTTTTTTTTTGTTGCCGTTGCTGCGTCTACCTTCGGGAGGGGAGACCCTGGCCCAGAGTTGAAGAAACTCTGGAATGGGCATGGGTACCCGGCGGACGCGTTTGTTAAGCTTAATTGACGTGTTTTCAGGTACATCTCACATTTACTCCAGCCAAAACCATGTCAAAATGTGTAAAATCGCGCAAGTCCAAAATTAAACGCGACGCACGTGACCGCGTGGACTTGTCGACGTGGCGCCAAGGCCGAAGCTGCGCCGGATCTGCGCCTGCGCGTCCACGTCTATGCCGGCTCCTCCGCCGCATGCACTGCATGCTATCGTTGTTGGCGTCCCCCGAGCCGGGTTTCGACTGGACTGCGGACGAGATAGCTAATTTATTCCCTGTCTAGCGGAGGGCTACCATGCCATTTTCGCAGCCTCAGACTTGTAAGATTGTTCATAAGTAGCATTTCAAGAGTGCATCAGATGCGTCAACAGGGTGAGGACCACTCTCTCAAACAACTCTCAAAAGATAGCTAATTCATTCCCTGTCTAGCGGAGGGCTACCATGCCATTTTCGCAGCCTCAGCCTTGTAAGCTTGTAGTTGTTCGTAGCATTTTGTAATCAGAGAATTTGAATCCGCTTAAGCCTCAGCCTTGGCGCACTGAACTCTTGATACCAATGCGATCAGTCCGGCTGTTCCGTTGCGGGTCGGACTCTCATAAAAAAACTGCCATTTCTGGGTAACGCACGTGACCCACCGCTCAACCGGACCGCGACCATCTATTAGTTACCATGCTTTGCCCCACCCTCCATCGATTCCTGGTCGATTCCGGCAGAAGAGCGACGCTGACACAGCTGGTGCGATGCCGCCGGTGTGGCTACGAATGCTCTGCCGAAAATTCAGTCAAGACCCAGACCCTGCTTTGTCCCGATGGAAAAAAAAGTTGACGCCAAAGAAGTTGACCAGTGCGCGTCGCCGCCGGCGCGGCGGCCACTATCCTTACAGATATAGCAAGCGCCAGCGCAAAATCTGGACCAGAGAGCAGTGAAATTGGGCAGCGTCGTTCACAGGAAGTTTTGCGTGCATAATTTGGCCCTTAGCAGTAATCTGGGGAAGAAAGGAAAATATTATCAAATGAACTCCTACTCATCCTTGGTCTCTCTCACGACACAGATCCGACTCGCGTCTTCGAATTCTCGTATAAAGACGCGCCAACATCTGGCAACCTGGCCAACTAGCTCTTCTTTTCTATGACAGGCACAGGAGCAAGACCTTTGAACGTAACCGTCGTTGGCGCTGGTATTGGTGGACTGGCGGTCGCAGCCGCGCTGAGAAAGTGTGGACATGTTATCAACGTGAGCGTTATTGAATTCCTGAGTCCTTACTCACGCAAACAAGGTATACGAAAGCTTCGAAGTCAAAACAGAAATCGGCGCCGGAGTTGGAATGCAAAGCAATGCCGTCCGTGTGCTCAAATCTCTGGGTTACAAACGAGAAAATCTGAAAGGCGGGATTTTCGATGGGGTCAGTTGCCCTTCCCGTCTCTCGAGCCACGCAATAACCTCAGTAGATGACAATCCATAATGCCGAAACAGCAAAGTTCAAGAAATTCCCAACGCGCAACTGGGATTCCCTTAGAAAAGAGGGCCTCGAGGTATGGTGTTTGTTGTCGTTTTCTAGTGATCGACGCTCGGGCAGAATTTCTCATGTCATCGCGGCGACCTTCATGCCGAGCTTCTTCGACTTGCTACCGAGAAAGATGCTGCCGATGGGCCGCCTGCAAAATTGCACTTCGGTAACAAAGTCGTCAGTTGTGACCCAGAGGCTGCAACTATCACCCTTGCCAACGGTGAAACGGTGACCTCAGATCTTGTCATCGGGGCCGATGGTATCCATGTGAGTGTGTGTGTTTACTAAGTCATCGTCTTCTCACAATTGCGCCAGTCCATCGTCCGGACAAGCGTCTTGGGGAAAGAGGTCCAAGCAGAACCGACTGGATGGGCGTGTTACCGCTGCATGTTCGATGCATCCAACATCAATGATCACCCGGAATTCGACTGGGTTCTTAAGAATATGAATACCATCCGACAAGAAGGCTCTCAGCTCGCCGAGCACATCGTCTACGGCGTTCGTGGCAGCACGCTGATCAACTTTGTTGCGTTCGATAGCCACGAGGGGCGGGATACCAAAAGACGTGAGGTTTTTTTCATCTATTATTTTTGTTTCTTCACTGATAAACTTAGCTATCGCGCAACCTGCAACCAAGGAAGAGATTTGGGCAAGATACCCGACGTTCCACGAGAAATTCCGCCATCTATTCGACCTTCCTCTTGCGACTCCCGTTCTTCGATGGGAGCTTCGCGCCTTGCCGCTCCTCCCCACTTGGATCAAGGGCCGGGCTGCCATCATCGGTGATGCGGCTCACGCGACGCTGCCGCTGCTGGGACAAGGGGCTGGGCTGGCGCTTGAAGAAGCTGGTTGTCTGCGGGTTCTCTTCCCCGCGGGCACAACTCCAGACCAAGTACCCGCCCGACTCGCCGCATTCCAAGACCTGCGCAAAGAACGCGGGGAGTTTGTCAATGTGCAGTCCGTTGCCCAGGCAGACCCGGAGTACCGCGTCAAGTTCACGAAAAGTAAGCACGCGCACAGAATCAAGTTGATTAGATCGACAAACAACTGTTTTATTAGCATCATGGGACGAACAACGCGCAAAAAGAGCTTACCCGGGTCCAGTTCCTAGTGCTCGCAAACGGCCATTCCAACTTGAATCTCTTCTCGCATCCCTCCACTTCAACAAAAGCCCTCCAACCAAGGCAACTCTCTCGTAAACACGTCCTTTTCTCGCGCAAGGTATGTCAGCGTCACCACGCAAGACTAGTTTGGCCACTTGTCACCAAGCTTCCAGCGACTCTTGCGAGAAGCTGAAAGGGACAAAGACTGTGTGGAGCATTAGCTCTGCCTTAACAGAGACGAAACAGAGGTACCTAGCTGCCAGTGCATGCAGTCATAAGCCGTTTTGTGAGCCAGTCGTCGCGCGACCCATAGCACTGCTCCCAAAACCACAGTCAGTGCCAACCAACAGAGTCACAGACAGCAAAACGAGCTCACGGACTACAGTAGAGTTGGTTGCGCTGCCAAAATAGTTAGCTATTGAAGCAATAGAAGATGAAATATATACCAGAACGCGACTCCCGCTTGAAGGAATGCGCAAAGTTTTCAGCGTGCACGTGCGTGACACGGCCCGCCAATCGCCGATCGATCACGCGTCGATCTCCAACCTTGACCACCACTTACAACTGTGTTCTGCTTGGGACCAACGACGAGCGATAGCACATGGCTCTGCGGAGACATACCCTTGGCACGAGCATCAAGACAGCAACAACCAGTAACTCTACCCTGCTGTGACTCCTCTTGGTACTTTCAACAGCGATGTCCCCAGCAAAACGCGGCCGCGCGGCATCCACTTCAAAATCTACATGGCCTTGCCAACCACCACCACACGTGGGACCCGGATGTACCCCCACGTCCGACCTCCGAACGGCAACTCGGCGGAAACTCCCATAGCTTCCCGCAACGCTGCCAAAGACCCCGTCGACAACTTCAAACTGGTCACACGCGCCGACCGCCCATGTCGTTCTCCCAGCCAACGCGCCAACTTGAATTGCGGGTTGCGACAACCCCCACGGACCGGAAGCAGACGGCAGGTCGGCGCAGACTGGGCAAGTGAGCGCAAGGTCAGCGACAGCAACGTCACAACTCGCCTGCAATGCTGCCTTTGTTGCGCCGAAGGCGTTCCGACAGCCTCACACTCAAGGTTCACCACCAAAAGCTTTTTGTCAACAATGCTGGCGACAACGCGACTTGGCAAGACGACGACGACCAGTAAAGCCGGCTTACCCTCTGCCGTCCAATCTCTCTCTGGCTGACTACGACTTGAAGACCGCGGCAATAACGCCCAAACTGACCAACGCGATGAATGAACAAGATGCCGAGGATAATAAACCGACGCACCTTTGCTGCCCGTCGCAACGCCGGCCTTGCCGATAATCAAGTTGACGATAGAGGCTTTGTCGGCCTCAACAACGCGGCTCAAATCCTTCCCCTTGTGCTCACTCATTCCGCGCGCTCTTAACAATGTGGCCGACCCAATCGAAATGGCGACGACTCCAATGTGGGCGAGGGGAAAGTAATGGAGACCATGAGCACCAGATTGGCTGGAACGAGGTAAGCATTGGTTTGTCTACAGATTTGAGTTGATACTCACCAAGGACAAGCTCCCGCGGCCCGATACCCTTGCCCGGCAATGACACCGACAGTGTGCTCGCTCTTCCCGCCAACTCCACCACCATCAACGGACTGCCCTCAACGCGATCGAAATAGTGCTGAGTTCGATGGCGATGACAGCCGCAGCAAGAACCTCCCCAATAATGGACGCGCTGTCTGCAACGACCACCAGCCTTGGATTCGGCAATTTGCGCAACTTGGCGCAAACTGGGAAATCCAGCACAGACACAACAACGGCACTCACCAATTACTCCACCTGCTCGACGCGAAGTACGTTGTCGCCCCTGGATCCCGAGCGCGGCTGAGCTGGCCAGCGGGATTCATCAGCGAGACGAGAAGAGGATCAAGATGCCGACTGACCTTTGTGAGCCTGTTCAACTAACGCGACTCCAATGCCGCGGGCAGGCCGGTCAGTCAACACCCCACGTAACCCGGAGCGGCAACTTGCAAGAGTCCCAACAGCGATCAAGATGTTCGAAATCGTAGGCCGAGCGCGAGGTCACCACACTCATGGTAAGCACCCTCCAACGATGAGGCAGAAAACTTACCTATGCAACGCAATAGCCGAGGGTCTTCGTCGAGGACAGCACTGACGAGCACGACATTGGCGACGATGACGAGGGAGGCCAGAGATGGGAGAGAAGTGGGAGAAAGGGAAAGAGAAGGAAGAGGAATGATGGGTTAGGCGATTTGGACCTGGGTTTTATACCCAGTGCCCGTCGGCGCTCGGCGGAAGTGATTTACGATATGTCAGGAATCACTTGGCATGGCTGACAGCGGACCTGGGCGATCTCGCCACTGCCGGAAATGGCATGGATTCCGGTTTGGTGGGATTTAGATAACTTTCCAGCCATGTATAGCTTGTATAAGAACATCTATTATCATACTACTGCATGTTCTGATGCATTCTGGATCTTAAAACACGCTGCAAGACACCAAAGTTTGCGAAATACAAGTGGGGAGTGGGACTAGAAATACGACATACCCAGACAGCGGAGCGCCCAAGCTGCAAGCGAGTGACACATGGGATGATGGTGCCGTCATGCCCAGGCCGTTCAATGCTCAAACCACGCAAGTTCCCCGTTGAAAACGGGGGAATTCTGCGAGGTGAATGAAATTACCAGGGACTAGACCGCTCTCCGGAGGATCGGAGATGACCAGCTCCCTGATACGCGCAATCACGTTCCAGGCTCCAAGTCCGAAGGTAATCGGCCGACTCCTTGGCTCAGAATTCCAGGAATTGTACCAACAACATACCTCGAAAATATCATATATTTGGTGCTTCCTGTTGCTTCAGCTGAAAGTATTGTTCGACAGAAGGCTTACGTAAGCACGTAATCCTCGATTTTCAGCCGAATCGGAGCATTTTTAGCTATAGAACGCGGGGCACATCTTAAATTTCCATTTTAGGTTGCCAGCGGTAGCATGCGATAAGGTCACGTGACCGCCCGCCGCAACCCAGTTTTAAGACTCTAACTTGGGCTTTCACTGTGAATTGTGCCCTGGGTGTCATTCAACTTGAAAATCTCGCAAAATCCTAGTTGTCTTTGAACTATTTCAGGAAAACCTGGATTCACACAAGTCCAAAATTTCCATTTTGGGTCGTAGGTGATGCAGTCACGTGACCACAGCCCAGCACTTCATTTTCAATCTACTTTGGCTCCTCATCACTAAATTTATTAGCTTCTCCTATAAGTAAAACTTGAGTAAAACTCTGGCAGAACTCAAATTGCTCAATCCTATATTGCCATTTCCAGCCTATCAGCTAGTCACGTGACTGCTCCTGGTAGGCACTGTTGCATATGAATACTCACAGTCCAATCCAATATTTCCTACTAATTGTTATTGCCATTATTTTGACTATTAGACATATTCTTAGACATGTTATTCAACTTCTATATGGAAAGGATATCCAGGAACACCTGCAAATAGTCCCCTCCTGCCACCCTTCTAGAACAGTTCTGGTATTGAGCACTTTTTGAATAATCCCAAGATTTTTGGGGGTACTAGTGTACATCACACCGAGATTCTTTGTGAATATGAAAGCCATTATAGTTCTTCACCTCTTAGAAGTGAATGGTCTACCAGGAGAAGCGGGAGAGCAGAATTCAAAAACGTGAGAACTGACATTAGCATAGCCACCAATGTCAGATCAAGGACAATCTGATGAGCTGTGTCAAAGCTTGTGCAAGGTCCAGAGCACCAATGCCTGGGAGTACAGTCCTGAAAATCACACAGCACATTGTATAGCATCAGAGGACTTGTGTGACCAAGCTACACAGGTGAGTGTTCAGCAATAAGGAAGATATTTAAGATATATCTTTCAAAACATTTCTACAGCCATTCTAGCCGAGGGTGAGAGCCCTGACCGAGAAAATGGAATCAGAGGAAGTAGTACATGTAATCTTTGATCTGACACTTGCCTGATAGGATCTGACCTAGAAATTTCGAGTTATAATGAAATTGATGTTGTAAGAAAAACTCATGCTTTTGCTAGTATATAGTGCTTGTTTTAAAATCCTTCATATCTCTGATATGTATGTTATCATACTCCTTAAACCTGTGTATAACATCCTTTTGTTTTTCCTTCTCTATGACTGATATTTAAATATTCTAAGTAATAAATTGAACTTTTTGTAGGCTACAAATGATTTTTTTTCTGTAGTCATCAAACATGTCTACTCATTGCTGCTGAGCTAAATGATTTTCTATTGCATTTTTACCTACTTTTTATTATTGTCAAAGTTGACAATCAATTCTAATAAATCGAACAGGTGTTTGGTCTTGCCTGTGATGGCATCAGAATGAGCTGCCATGATTTCTGCCAACTGTTATTACAGAATAATTTTAATTCATTTTCACTTACTTTCTATTTTTGTACTTTCTAGTCTCAGTAGATTTATGTTTATAGTAGAATAACTTGATTCCACTTTGAATACTGTAAAAACTGTTTTTACCCACTTTTTGTTTTCCTCTCTGCCATCTGTATATTGAGTTGAACATGGCTAGCAAGCAGGTATTGGCAGAAATATTGAATTTAATCTTTTATTGCATTTTTATATACTTTTTATTGTGACCTAGTAACTATTATATTGAGCTGACAGACTGCTATAATATCTTCTTTCAGTCCAAATTCATTTTTACCTACTTTTTTATTTTTCCATTTGATAATGTTCCACACAAACATGACAGGTGTAGCAATGTAAAGGAATTGGTTTTGACCTACTTAACCATTTGGCTAGAACATAAAGTCATATTTGTCAGCCTGGACAAGATTTTTTGCCAACTTTTTATTTTTCCGAAATTACCATTCTGGAAGATCTCAGCCAAATCACTTACTATACTAGTTAAGAAATGATTTTTACCCACTTATTATTTTTCCCGAAACTACCATTCTGGGAAGTAATCCCAGCTAAATCACTTACTATACTAGTTAAGAAATGATTTTTACCCACTTTTTGTTTTTCCGAAAATAGCCATTCTGGGAAGTGATTCTAGCCAAATCCCACTTATTTTGGGATGAGAATTGATTTTTACCCACTTT